ACCACTTGGCATCAGTCTCTTGTCCCTTTAGGGTGGACATCACAACACCCATGGCTGGTTGACCCAGCTAAGGCTGCCTGAACTTTGAATCTGTATTACTTTGTCTCTAACCCCAAAGGTCAGTCTGAGAAGGATATGGTACCTCCACCTCCCCAGTTCCAGCATCTGCTTGCTCAGCTGGGGACAGAAGTCCAGCCACACGGCTCCTGGCTTTGCCCTAGGACAGCTACAGTCAGAGAGTCACACTGTTTTGGGTGCTGTTCTCAAAGGGCTGTGGGATCTGAGTGGGGCCACGGAGGGCATGGGAAAGACCACTTGGATGGCCCTCCCAGTTCTACTAGCAGGACCTGCTGACTTCCCTGGCTGGAGGGGAAGAGATGGTTCAAGAACTGCTGGGGATGATGAGATGATGATCAGTACAGGGGCTGTGCTCAGGGGCCCAAAGGCCACACCCCTTCCCACAAAACAGCACATGGATCCAAGTGTGTGCCAGTAGCCGAGTCCCAAGGAACAAAAGCATCAGTGCCCACAAGTCCTCAGGTGTGTCATGCTCTACCTGCTGTCTCTGGTCTTGTGGTGTGGCCACCCCAAAGGTGCCCTCCATAGACCACTGGAGGCTTCTGCTGAGCTGGGCTCTGCCCTGTCTGCTCCATGCCCAACCCCTCTGGTCAGTGGAAAGGACCTCCTACAAACCCCCTTTCTCCCTCATTTCCCTAAAAGGGGAAAAAAGAGACTGTCATGTAGTAATTAAAAACAGCTCTGTGCTGGTGGGCGGGACCCAGTGCTGCCTTCCTGCATCAGCAGCTGAGACCAGCCCCGCCCACAGAAACTCCTAAAGCCCCCCCCCCGCCCCCCAGCCAGCAACTAGGCCTCTAGAGGTATATGAAACCAAGCAGGGCCCGGGCCTTGGGGTAGGGCCGAGCCTAACCAGGATGAGGCCAAGACCTATTCATGGGTCACTCAGGCCTGAGCAGATGGGTGTGGCCGAGAGTGAGGCAGGGAGGGGGAGGGGGTTGCAAGGCTCTGACCCCGGGACAGCACAGCATCCAGCCCTGAGCCACACCACCCATGGGCTGGTCCTTGGGAACAAGCCAGGCCTGCCTAGCAGCAGGCTCTCTGCCCAGCTTGCAGATTCTACCACACACATGTACAGGAGGGTGGCTGTCCGCTGGATGCCCGTCTCCATGGAAACCAGCTCTCCCATCTCCATTTCCTGCCCATTGCTTTGGTTTCCTCTTGGGGAGGGCGACAAAACATCCAGAAGATGCCGCAGAGGAAAAGTTGCACAACTCTTGGCCCAGCCCTCCCCTCCCCCACCCAGGACCCTGGCCTTTCTCTCTGGGCCTGATGGAACCCAGCCCATGCCCTGCCAGTGGGATCTCATGCCAGGGCCCCGAGCTCGGCCCTTCCCATTCATGTGCTGCTGAATCATTTGAAAAAAATGCATCTTGCTCCTGGGAGGGTTTGCCGAGAACAGTGTGGCTTTGTCAACGAAGCTGCTCGGCACTTTCTCCGCCAAGAAGCCAAGAGCCTCGCAGAAGCCAAGATCGGCCTTGCAACCCCGGAGCTGGGTGACCTGGGCAGGAGCAGAGCAGGGCAGGAGGCAGAGGGACACTGGAGGGGTGCCAGCCCCTGCATGCCTCCGAGGAAGGGGCTGAGTGACAGGACAGAGGTAGCAGATGAGGGTTCTGTCCATGCTATCCTGCAGCTGTCAGTCACTTTTCCTCACTGGCTAACTAGTTTCCATGTGGCCTCTGGGCAGAATTCACATCTGGGAGAGGGAACTGGGGGACTTGGGTTCCTGTTCCCTGTCTCCTTACTAGCACAGCCCTCCTTGAGCCATGGAGAGTAAAAGGCCATTCAGGGCCCAGGGGCTGCTCTTAGGCTGTACCTCCCCGGAAAAGACCTACTAGAGACTGGTCTTATTTCCTGCTGGCTGGAGGGAAATGCATATCAGGCAGTCCCTGACCCACTCCAAACTTTGCACCCTCTTTTCCCCATCTTCTGACATGGGGTCCTGGATGCTGCTTTCATGCTGGCTGTACCCCAAAGTCTGCCATGGTCAAAACAGACTGGACCAGCCAGTGTGGGAATGGGGAGTGCTAGCTAAGGAGATCACTATGCCGCATTTCTTACCCTGGCTTCTGTGGGCACCTGTGGACAGCTCACACTGATGTTCCACTTCAAACCTCTTGGGCAGACAGGGCACCCGTCCAACCACCCAGCCAGCACCAGAGGCCCTGTAGCTTGGGGAGGACACATAAGGTAGGGACACAAGGAAGTGGCCCCAGGACCAGGGTTCCGATAAACTGTGTGGCAGAGTAAAGACATTGTCCTGCAAATGTGAGTACAGAAGCACAAGGCTGGTGGAAAGCTCTAGAATACACAGTGCTCCAAGGAGGCAGCAGACAGACGGGGAGAACCCACGAGTGCTTCTGGAGAAAGGTAGACTGCCTCCATGCCTGGGGTCTCCTGCTACTTGAAGAGCTCTGAGGAAGCTGCATAGCCTTCTAGAGGTATTGTCCTCCCCTTCGGTCTATCAGAGGCTGGGGAGGGCCAGGCAGCTTGAAGGACTGGGGCATGAATGTGGTCTGGACCCCTGAGCCCTCATTTTTGCCATGATGGTATACTGGCTCCTGGCATGAGGATGCCGGAGGGATTCAGAGAGGCTCCAGGTTGACCCTGACTCCTTACATTCCCATCCAGCTGTCTCAAACTGACCAAGAGAACAAAGACGGCCTCTTCAGAGACTGCCAGACCTCTAAGGCTGAGATAGAAAGGTAGCTATGTTGTCTCCCTAGAGAACTGCTGGGCAGCCATGTTCTTAGCAGGAGGGGATCCTAGGCAGCTGATTTATTACCCACACCACTGGCCTGGGCCAAGGCTATCCCATCCTTCAGCCTTCTACATGACAGGTGGAATTGGGCAGGGTGTCTCCCCATGTTGCCAGGGGACAGTGTAGGTGTGACTGTCCAGGCAGAGATGAGTCACCCTCCACCATGTCTTACACCCACTTTTAGCTCCAATGTGGCCAAGGAGGGGTAATTCCTTACTCAGAACATGCAGGCCACAAATATCACCTTTGCAAATGGAAACAAAAATAACCTGTTCTGGGAAGATATGTCTGCTAGATGAGCTGTAGCTTCCAGGATAAGCCAGTAGGCTCATTTATGCAACATGAAGACCTGTCCCTGGGCTGCTTTAAGCCCAGGGATGCCACAACATCCCACTCTACCCTCCTAGACAGAGGTGATGTTCTCTGTCCTGTAATCAACTGACAGCTAGGCACCAGGTAGGGACAGGGGATAGGATAGAAAATCAAAAAGCAAACCCAAATCCTTCCAAATGAACAGTGCGACAGTGGAAGGTGGAGGTCCCCTCACAGGCCTCGGTCAGTGGTTCACACCTCACCATGGGCCTTGTCCCCTGGTCAGCAATTATGATAGTGTCTACCTATCACCTGCATCTACCACTGGCTGTGAGTCCCACAGCCCTCATATGCTGTTCACTGCTTTCCTCCTAGGACAGGGTGGGGGATGAGGTTGGGGAGAGAGTCAGGACAGGGTTCGGCATTCTGTCAACGAAAAATATTAAGGAAGCAGATTAACCTCTTTCAGGGAAAAAATGATGCAAACGGGAAGCAAAGGGGCGGTAGATGGAGCCTTTCCGCCCACGTCCCAGCTGTGGGCTTTCACACGCAGTTTCCAAGAGCGTTTTAAACAAAAGCTGGGGCCAAACCTGGGGTTAAACCATGAAAGCACTTTCTGGCACCAGACCTTTTGATCCAAACACATTAACAATATAGTTCTCTTTCTAGAAACAAGCACACGAGAGCAGCTGGGATCCTGGAAGGGAGGTTCCAAGAGCCCCAGGGTGGAGAGTGTGAATAAGTGGGCTCTATACATGTGAGTGAATGTGCAACGTCCAGTCAGCAGGTGTACGTCTCAGGAGGTGGCAGGGTTTAGAAAAGGCAGTTAGTACATGGCAGAGTATCTGGTTTCAGATATCCCTCTAGATCTTGTGTTTAGGTGATGAACTCACAGTTGTTCGTTAGACTGTCAACAAAATATACATAAATATGGTCATTTGTGGACTGATTTTAGCAATGTGTCATAATCAAAGATGACTGATCCGAGCAAAGGTATCTGAGGTCCCATAGAAGGAAGGAGAGAGGGAGGAAATGAAGACTCAAACAGGTCTAGCCTGGGCTCAGCAAACTTCCCTCCAACCACCACCTGTTTCTGTCAATCAAGTTTCCCTGTACTTGGCCACACCTACTTATTAGGTCCTTGGGGTTTTTCTTCTCTCCCTGTAGTGCTGTGGATTGAACCTAGGACCTCATGCCTGCTAGGTGAGGGCTCCATGTTCTGAGCTACCCCTAGTCCTTCTTTTGAGCAGCAAGAAAAGAGCTGATCAGCGGCCAGAGCTAATACACATCTGGCAGTGTCTGTTGACTCCCTACTCCAGCCCCTAAGTCTACAACTGACAGAATATCTACCCAGTGGGGGCTCTCCAGAGCTAGGTTTGGAGTTCTTTAAACTAAGGAGTAGGAAACTGACTGGACACCTAGGTCCTCCCACCAGTGCTGGCCCCAGAGGGAGTCAGTTATTCAACTGAGTTGGGACTGCCTGCCTCCCCACTAAAGGTCTTAAGAATTCATTAAGACTTACTGCTAAACAATGCTAGTTTTGTTCTTTCTTTTAAAAAAGGAGAGAGATTTTAGTGTAATCTCTGACAATGTCTCAGCCAGTGGTTAAACAACAAATGATGTATCTTCTGAAACTGTGCCTATGACCTCGAATGCTCTTGAAAAATCCAGCGTTTCTCTCTCTAAACCATGGGAAGAGCTGATATTTTTTCACCTGGGGTTTCCATCCGTACACCACATACAAAAACTCTCCCCCTACCAAGAGACTCTTCCCTGGTACTTGGGCTGGACTCACTCCCTAGACCCCATGTGGGTTCTGGTTTTGTGGGAAGGAGCTTGCCTGGAGGGCGGGATGGCGTGGTTTTAGAGACTCCTAAGGCTTTCTAATGGGATGGGCGCACAGACTTAAAAGAGACACAGGTAAGGTGCACAGGAGCCACAGGGAATGTATTTATCACCAGTGGGATGTGCCTTTAAAATGTTTTCTGAAACTCTTGCAAGCGTTTCCTGGCCTTTTCCAGAAACTGCTTGTGCAACTTGTTTTGTTCTAGAATTTGCTGCTGGAGGTCATGGATCATTTGGCTCTGCTTCTCCTCATCGAGGAGGCTACTGTCCAGGAGGGAAGTGCCTCCGATTTCTGGGTCTCGGATAGGGGCTGGAAACTGGAACCCAGTGGGGTAAGACTTGAGGACGGCCAAGCGTATCCTTCTGCGTTCCCTCCGTTCTTCCTCCAGCTCCGCCTTGTAATGGATTTCCAAGCTCATGTCTGGGTGTTCCGTCATCTCGAACAAAGTCTTTGGCCTTCTCGGATCCATCTCTGCCCTCTTTTGTCTCAGAGTCATCCAGCTTGCTAGGGAGTCTACCTGTCTCTGTGGATGAGCCGTGGGGGTGTCCTCCACCTGGGTGGCCATCTTGGGTGGCTCGCCACCGGACCCCGGGCCTTCCAGGTGCGAGTTGTCTTGCTCCGTAGATGTTCCTACCTCTGTCACTGGACTCAGGCACTCACTCTTTAATGGGTACTTGGCCATCTGTAATCTGGAGCAATCATTCTGGCTTTGCAACACTTTCATATTAGTCTCCGACCATGTCTGGGAGGCCTCCACCTCTGTTGGGCTCCCAGATTCCTCAGGAGGCGTTTCTGCCTCTGTCTCCTCTCTCTGGGTGTCACTGCTGTCTCCCTGCGTCTGTGACAAACCCTGTTGCTCATCCGGCTTCTGGTAAACCTCGAGTCTCTGTTCAAGGTGCAAACTCAGGTGTTTCTTCAGCTTCCTGTTTGTATTAAACAACTCCTCAAGGGCGGACTCCATCTCTTTATGCCACTGATTCTTATCACTGCACTTGACTGGAGACCCCTGGGGCGTGGCCCCCTGTTTGGAGGTGGCGTTGAGGGGCTGCTGCTGTTCGACGTCAGTGGGTTTGTCCTGTAGACTCTGGTCCCTGGAGCTGGGATTCCCGTTTTGAACAAAGCGCGAAGTCCCCTTTCCTGGCTGCCTCCTCCCCTCCCGGGATATTTCCCCCGCACCACCCAAGAGCGGGCTCAGCTTTGCCAGGCCTCCCCCTCTGCCCACCCGACCCGCGGGCTGCTGGCCACCGCTGCGCTTACTTGAAGGCGGCCGCTTCCCTCTGCCCTTGTCGTTGGGGTTCAGCTCCGGGGTCTCGGTAGAACCTGTCGCTTTCTTCCGGGACTTGGGGTGCTGCCTAGGGCACTGGTCCCAGGAGCCCCTCAGGGTTGTTCTGCGCCTTTCCTTGGCCCTCGGGAGTCCTGCTGCTCCTCGTGGGCCGGGCTCCTCCGAGTCACTTCCCACCGTCCGCCCCGCCGCCTCCTCCGACAGACGGGCTACTTGCAGCCGCTCCAGCTCCCGGACTTGCTGGAGCCGGGTCTCCTGCCACTCGGCCTGCAAGGCCTCCGCCAGGCGCTGCAGCTGCTGGACCTTCCACTGCTGTCGAGCGACGTCGACCTTGTCTCGGACCTTGTCTCCGACTTGCGGCGATGCAGGTTTCGGCCTCAAAACCGAGGCATCCTCATCGGCAGCCCGCTCCGTGTGTCTCTGCATTTCTGTAAACTCTGCCCACACAGCTTGCAGCCAGGAGAGGAGGTTGCGGGGCCTGGGGCACCTACGGAGAGAGTTTCACAGCAGACCTATAAAGCCAGGAGGGCAGGCGACACTCCCCCAGGTAGCTGGAGGAAAGTGCACGAGGCCCTGTTGACAACACACTCAGGAACGTACCCATCAGGTGTCGCCCTGGCCTCTGCCCACCAGGGCCCGTTCCCTGACTCCTGGTTCCTGTTCTGAGCACCTTAGACGAGAGCATGTGGGCCAACCGTTCACGGGTGCTTCCCAGACGCCAAATGGCAATGTGGCTGCTGACCTGTGGCTGGGGTCAGGCCGGAGACATTGCTAAGCATCCTCTAGTGCACAGGAGGTCCCCACAACAAAGAATGACCTGTTCCAGAAGGGGATGAGACTGACAACCCTTCCCACCCCCCCACCCCAGGAGGCATGGTTAGGACTCAGGTGAGGTGGGGGGTGGCAAAAGGCAGCACCCGAGAGAACCAATCTGGGGAAGGGATAGGAGGAAGCCCAGCCTGTAGAGAAAGCTGCTTATAGAGGAAAAGAGGAAGGAGCAGCAGGGGTGGAGGCCTGCAGACAGGGTGTGGCGTGTGCAGGAGACTGTGTGTATAGATGTGTTCATGCATCTCTGTGTATATACCTGTATGCAAATCTGTGTGAGCAGGGATATGCATACAGGTATGTGTGGGTGTACACACATTTGGTACTCGGATCCAATACAAACCACACGGACAGGTACAAATATGTACACATCTGTACGCATGTCTGAGTGCAGAGGTGTGCATGCAGGTATGTGTGGGTGCACGCATGCTTGGTACTCGGATCCAATACAAACCAAACATCTGAGGAGACACGGATGTTACATCTCATCACGATGGCCAGCCCCCTGCCCCCCATGAGATTATATAGAACTTTTTGTGGGTCCCAGTGACATCAGAAAGAGGCAGGCTTTGTCAGGGACTCCTAGGGGAGTGTGTTTCCCTCAAAAGGGAGAGCATCATGCCTGTTGCCACTGGGGCCGATGCCAGCGGCAGCAGGATTTCTGTGTTGCATCAGCTGCCCCCTGGACACCACAGTCCATGTGGAGAGCCCTCGACCGCCCTTTCTTGGATCCCTGTGGAAGCAGGCTAACCAGCCAAAAGGAGTCACAGCAATCAGAAAACAGCTCTGCATGTGCTACAAGCTCATTGGCGTGCAGGCTCCCTCTCTCAGAGCACTGGACAGCTAATGACCTCAGGTCTTGTTTTTTGAGACAGGGTCTCACTGTATAGCCTAAAACTTGCAAACTGTCTTGGCCTCTGAAAAGCTGGGATTACAGGCATGCACCACCACACTCAGCATAGAACATTTTTAAACCAGTAATCCGGGAGGTAAGGAGCGGTTACCTGTGGTTCACAGATGAGGAAGCTGAGGTGGGGAGCAGTGCATAGCTGGCAAGAGAGAAACAGGCCCCTCTGCTTCCGTAGACCACAGAACCATCCACCAGCCATGAATGGTCACACGATCACTGACATAGGCATGTACATCCTTGTGAGGGATCTTTGCACTTCTTGGTAAGTCAGACCAGGCAGTACCATACACTTAGAACAGAGGCTAATATAACCCACCAGTCTGCCAACCACTGTGATAGGCAAAAGGAAAGAATTAGAACTAGAGAGACTGGGCATTCAACTCAGGCATTGGGATTTTCTCTAAAGGTAACACAAATCCATGGTGGGAAAGAACTGCCTTTTGGTTTTTATCCTTGATTTTTTTTTTCAACAAAGCATTCTATGACAGTTCATGATCTACATGAAAAAAAAATCTACATTAAAAAAAAAAGGAATCTGAACCCTTTCCTCACATCACATACAAAAATTAAGTTACATTAGATCATAGGTCTTGGTGTCAGATCTAAAACTATAAATGTTGGGGCTGGAGAGAGAGTTCAGTGGTTAAGAGGACCTGGGTTCAATTCCCAGCACCCACATGGCGACTAACAACCATCAGTAACTCCAGTCCCAGGGGATCCAATGCCCTCCTCTGACCCCCCCCCGGGCACTGCATGACACAAGTGTACTTACACACATGCAGGTAACACCATACACATAAAATAAAATATTTACAGTAAAACTATAAATGTTTAGAAGGAAGCAAGTGGATATTCATGACCCCGATGGAGGCAAAGATTTCTTATATACAATACAAAAAGTCCAAGCAAAGAAAGAAATGGTCCAACCAATGCCATCAAAATGAAGATCTATACGCTTCAAAAGTCACCATGCTGTGAAAGTACCTGGTGCAGATGGTAAGTGTTTGAAGATCATATAACCAGTAAAAGGCACCAGTCCATAATATTTGAACAACTTCATGAGAAGATGAATTGCAAAAACTGGCTACAGGATACAAACAAGGGGCCAGCAAGATGGCTCAATGGGTGGGAGAGCATGCCACAAAAGCCTGGCCACTTGAGTTCAATGCCCAGGATCCCATGGTGTGCAGCGAGAACTAACAAAAATCATCCTCCGATCTCCACATGTGCTGTGGCACGTATGTGTGCCCACTGTGGCACATATGTGTGCCCACATACATATACACGATTAATGCAGTAAAAACTATTTGTTTTTTGTCTTTTTGAGGCAAGGTCTCCCTGTAGCCCCAGCTGTCCTGGAACTCACTATGTAGACCAGGCTGGCCTTGAACTCACAGAGATCCACCTGCCTCTGCCTCCCAATTGTTGGGACCACAGGCGTGCGCCACCATGCCTGGCTAATAAAAACTTCTTTTAAAGATACAAATAGGAGATGTGGCTCAGCAGTTAAGAGCTCTTGCTGAGTTCAGTTCCCAGCACCCACATCAGGTGGCTCACAACTGCCTGTAACTCCAGCTCCAGGGAATCTGACACCCCCTTCTGGCCTCCACAGGCACTGCACTCACATGCAAATATCCACACACAGACACATACATATAAACTTAAAAATAAATCTGCTGGGCGTGGTGGCGCATACCTTTAATCCCAGCACTCGGGAGGCAGAGGCAGGTGGATCTCTGAGAGTTCAAGGCCAGCCTGATCTATATATCGAGTTCAAGGTCAGCTGGGGCTACAGGAAGACCCTGTCTCTAAAAGACCAAAAAAAAAAAAATTTTTTTAAAGAAAAAGATACCAATATAGACAATTCACCAAAGACAGATTATGAAAATATGGGCAATAGCCATATTCACCAGAGAAAGGCAGCCCAAAGCTGCACTGTTACTGCTTCCCACCCACCAGGATGGCTACACTTAGAAGGAGGTGGAGAAACTAGGGCCCTTCACCCTGCTGGTGGGCGCTTGGTCAACAATCTGGCAGTTTCTTTAGCAGTAAATGTTAGACTTACAACATGACCCAGATATTCCACTCCGAGGTCTGTGGCCAGGAAAGATGGAAGCTCAGAGAGGCTGAGTAACTGTCTCAACTCCCAGAGGAGCTGGATTTGAACACACATCTTTCAACTTGAGCTTCCTCCTCCCACTGGGAGTAGCCACAGGGGTGTCCCAAAAGGTAGGGTGGGTCCGCACTGTTGTGAACACTTCTGAGGATGGGACCAGTCCTACCTATGGTGGAGTCTGTTTCTGAGCTTAGAACCACTGGCTCCCACTCTTTGTGAACAGGTAACAACCACTGAGGCCTGCCATGTCTCTGCTGCCTCCAAAGTGCCCCCATCTCAGTTAGGTAGAGCTCTTTGGGATAAAGCTTGTGAAATTATAACTAGCACCATATTTTACTAATCTGTGTCCCCATGACAACTACCAGCCACATCTTCAGTGCTCTCTCCTATGCCGTGACCCTGCTACTATCTTGTAACCAGAGGAAGGGCTTCCATTTGGACTCACAGAGCCCGAGATGGCTGGGGAAAAGCACCTATTCACCTGTTCAGAGCCTGTGAGGAAAGTCCTTTCTCTGGAGTCTGACCTGCCCCCGAAGACCCCTAGGGTCTCCTTAGTCCCATGAGGCAAAACTGCCCAGTGCTCTAGGCAGGACACCAGTCAAGGATGACAGGCAGGCACACTTTGACTGAGGCCTTGGGCATGGCAGACAATTCTGGACAGGGCAGAGTCCTGATGAGCCTTTGTCTCTCTGGACGGTGCTCTGAGTCCCTCCACATTGTCCCTAGAGCAGATGGCTGCCTCCTGCCAGTGTCTTCAACCACTTGTGAAAACCACAGCCCATTTCCTGACAGAAGCCATCCTCAGGGTAGCGGACAAGAAGGCAGGGTTGACACCTGTCTAGCCTAGACAGGTGCTCTAGAGAGCGACTGAGCCTCCTGTCAAGTACAAGCACTGTGGGTACTGGGTCCCATAGTGCGTTTTTCTATCTAGATTTTCCCAACTCTATGAGCCCAGCAGCAGCAGCCACAGCCAAACAGCTGCTCAGACTGATGCAGACCCCGTCCCACCCCAAGAGCAAGGCAGCGCCAGGCTGCGTGGGAGGAGATTTCATGCCTCTGAACAGTGGGGCAGAGCGTGCCCACCGCCAGCCCTAATGAAATCAAGGACCACATGTGACAAGGTCATCCAACTCCACACAGTGCACAGCAAGGTCTCAGATCCCAGTAGGCAGGCCCCAATCTGGGTTCCCAACCTACAGCAGAAGGAGTCAGAGCTGGAAGCCATTTTCAAGGCTCCAGTGTGTCAGCCTGCGCACTGGTCCCCATCACAGAAAGTCGGTGAGGAGAGAGATCAATGGGGTGAGAGGGGCCTCGGGTGGCGGCCCAGGCTCTAGCCTGGGCTATATTTGTCTTCTGGTGGCTGCTAAGGCCTAGGACTAGTCTGTGTGCTTTCTGGGGGTGCAATGCCTAAAGCTCGTTATGTTCTGCCTTCCCCCTTTCTGCACCTAGCTCTGCCCTCCTCTCTGAGCAGTAGCTGAGCTCCTAGGTGTTCCTAACGGCTGTTCTGCCCCCCCCACCGCACCCTCCCTACACCATAGCACAAGCCTTCTCTCACAGAGATAGCCTGCACTGGTCCCTTGTTCGCACTGTCAAGTCTGCAAGCAACATCCACAGACACCCACAGCACACACACCTGAGCCACTAGCAAATTCCTGAGCTCTACCCCACAGGGATCCTACTCCAGCCTGCAGAACAGTGGCAGGGTCATCTCTACGGCCAGCTCCCTGGGAGCCTCAACAACCAGGAACACCAGGCTTCAGGCTGGAAAGCCTTAGAGGACCCCCCCACTGGCTCCCCTGCCCATTCCATCCAGGAACACAGCATGTCAGGCTCCCTGGCCTGTGTCCAGGCTCCGCTCCAGTGTCCGCCCCTGCCCAGCACCTTA